GAATTTGAAGTTCTGTTCCACATTTGTCTCCCCTTTTCATCAGGATTCATCTATTGTGTTCCTGATCAGAAGGTTCAGCAGTGGTAGCCGGGCACCATCTAGTTCTTCTGGTTTCAGGGTCAGGGAGGCTTTGCTTCATGTAGACAATCAGTGCTTTTTGGAGGATACAACTAACATAGGAGTCTCTTCCTTCTAGTTGATTTGACTCATAGCGACCCTTCTTGGGTTTCTGAGGTGGTATGTCTGCGGAAGTAGATTGCCCAACCTTCCTTCCAAGGAGTGGCTGGTGGGTTTGAACTGCCAGCCTTCTGGTTAGCAGTCAAATGCCTTAGATGCTATGCCACCACAGCTCCTTGTACCTTGATACTGTTGTTAGCTGCCGTCAAGTCGGCTCTGCCTCATGGTGACCTTACGTGTAACAGATCGAAACCTTGCTCAGTCCCACACCATCTTCATGACCATTGGTATCAAGTTCACTGTTGCAGCCTCTGTGTTCTTCGAGTGCCTTCAAACCTAGGTGGCTTACCTTCTAGAGCTCTATCAGACAGTATTCTGTGGTGACCAATAGGGTTTTCGTTGGTTGATTTTCAGAAATGGCTTGCCAGGCCTTCCTTTCTAGTCTTTCTTAGTCTAGAAGTTCTGCTGAAACCTGGCCACCATGAGTGACCCTGCTGGTATTTGAAACACTGGTGGCATAGTTATTAGCATCGTAGCAACATGCAAGCCACCACATTAGCACAAACTGGTAGGCCTCTCTCTTTGCACAGTGTTTTTTTCCTTACTAGCCCTTTCACAATTGTATGTACTTTATTATTTTGATGAACTTTTTTCCTGTCTCCCCATGTGACTGTAAACTCCATCAGGGTAGTAATCACACTGAACTGGTTAATTGCTGACCCATGGTGCCTGGCATACAAATAAATAAATAACTCACTGCCATCAAGTCTATTCTTAGTGACCCCCCACTGGGTTTCTGAGGCAATAAATCTTTACAGAAGTGGATTGCCCAGTCTTCCTTCCAAGTAAAGGCTGGTGGGTTTAAACCACCAACCTTCTGGTTAGCAGTTAAATGGCTTAGGCACTAAGCTGCCAGAGCTCCTTGGTGCCTAGCATATGTTAGGCATGTGATAAATATTTATTGAATGGAAGGATGTTTCTCTGCCTTTAAAACATCTGGTGCTGCAGATACTGCCCTCAGTATACTTGGGTGGTTGTTGGTGTTTAAAGTGGAGATTAATGTATGGAGATCAAAGTTTGTTCGCAGTTATCGGAGGCCAGAGGGAGGGGAGGGTCCTCTTAGTTCAGGAAGCAGCAAATGTCTGTCTATGGTGATGGGAAATTTGGCAGGGACTGTGGGTGATGATTGTGTGGCATGATTCACGTCACTGAGATCACGAACTTGCACACCTGAAAACTGTTGAATTGCTAGATGTTGTGTTGTATATAGATTTTGACAACAATAAAAAATAATACAGCAAACACACACACAAAGTGGAGACAAACAGTGTTGTAGGGAGAAGATAGTGATTAGAGAGAGAAAAAAATAAGTTAAAACCTTACTGACACTGGGCACCTTACCACTGTGAACGGTCAGGATGCTTGGGAAATCAGAGCGAGGCCACTTTGAAACTTCTGAAGAGCTGGCAGACTTGGCTCCTCTGGTGGTGCTGAGAGAAAGAGGGGTTCAGAGGGGCTGATCTTCAAAGGGAAGCTTCATGCAAAGCTATCAGAGAGGGTCTGGAGAACTTGGCCCCCAAATCGAATTAGCCTTTTCATGTCCACAAGCAAACAAGACTTCTGGGGGCTGTGCAGAGATCTGGGGGTGGGGGGCGGGGGGAGAGAGAGAGAGAGTGAGGAAGAACATGCCAGGTTACTTTCTAGCTTCAGGGCTAGCTCTGCAGGGCCACTGAGCCCCGGCTTCATTGGGTCCTGGCTCTGAGCTGTTTCATCTCTTCCAGCTCTCCTGGGCACAAGGTCAGCTTCCCTCAGGCTCTGTTTCAAGTTGAAGAGGCGACGACGATAAACCATCTGCAGTTTACAGGTAAGCCAGAGGGCCAGTGGTTCTAGCTTAGTGTTTGTTTTCCCTTGAGTCCTTGTTAGTTTTGTGTTCCTCTGAGGTTCCCTTCGTTGTGGACTGCACTACAGCAGAAATGGCTTTTTCAGTAACATTTAGTTATCGTAAGGAAGTTTTTGGTACCATCACCATCTGTCAGTTTGTCGTAGGGTGGTGGCTTGCATGTTGCTGTGGGGCCGGAAGACAGGCCACCAGTATTTCAAATACCAAAAGGGTCACCCATGGTGGACAGCATTCAGCAGAGAGGCTAGCCTAGGGCAGGCGGAAGGCAAGGCCTGGCAATCTACTTCTGAAGATTAGCCAATGAGAATCTAATGGATCACAACAGAGCGTCGTCCGACTCGCTAGCTTTGGACACAACATCAGGAGGATCAATGGCTAGAGGAAGACATCATGGCTGGTGAAGGAGAGGGCCCACAAGGGAGAGGGAGACCCTTGGTGAGATGGGTTGGCACAGGAGCTATGACAGTGGCCGTGAACTTGCTGGCGGTCCTGAGAATGATACAGGGCCAGACAGTGTTCCATTCTGTTCCATAAGGTCGCTGTGAGAGGGAGTTGACCAGACAGCAGCTACCTATCTATCTTCCTATCTACCTATCTCTATCTATCTATCTTTCTTTCTATCTATCTATCTACCCATCTCTGTCTTGTCTTTTCTATCTATCAATCATTTATATCTTCTTTGGAGAAATGTCTATTCAACTCCTTTGTCCATATTTTAGTTGGGTTTTGACTTTTTGTTGTTGAGTTGTAGGAGTTCTTTACCTATTCTGAATATTAAAACTATCAGATATATGATTTTTAAATATTTTCTCCCATTCTCTAGATTATCTCTTCACTTTCTTGATAAAGTCCTTTGATGCACAGAAGTTTTTCATTTTGATGAAGTCTGATGTATCTGCTTTGTCTCCAGCCTTGCATGTTTGAACATTTTGGGCTGCATCTTTTCTCACCAGTATTTAATGCTTAATGTTTACTGGCTTTGCTTTTGGTATAACTTTGGTTTAGTGGGGTCTTGGCCCCACCTGGATGTAGGATCTCCCTCTGATTATGTTCTATTAGCCACCCTTGGACAAACACCCTCCCCACAGATTGACTGGTTCCGAACTTCCTGCTAATAACACCCAAAGAGGTAATGTTTGTTGAGCACTTATGCTGGGCCAGGAACTGTGCTGATAATTTATTTGCACATAAATACATGATTTCATTTAATCATCACAAAAATCTCAGGAAGCTGGTAGTATTATCATGCACAGTGTTATAGAAGAGGAAACTGAGGCTGAGGGAGGTTAAGCCATTGTCCAAAGCCACACAGGTGCCACTGAGGCAGAGCTGGCATTTGGGTTTTTCTGACTCTGAAAGTTGCATCTTAACCACAATGCTGTGCCAGTCAGGGAGCAGGATCTGAACTGTTTTGCATGAATATTTAGTGTAGTTTCAAAACGATGAGATAAAGAAGAGGTATTGGAATTCGGTCAGGGAAGCCAAACCATCATGGACCTTCTAGGGTAAGGGATGGATAATAAGAAGTAGGAGTCCCTGGGTGGCAGGAATGCATATGCACTCAGCTACTGACTAGTTGTTGGTAGGTCGAATCCAGATAGATGCTTGAAAGAAAGGCCCGGTGATCTGTTTCCAAAAGGTCACAGCCATTGAGGACCCCATAGAGCACAGTTCGACTCTGAAACACAGGTTGTTGTTGTGTTGTTGTGTGCCGTCGAGTCGGACCCAACTCATAGCGACCCCTCCTTGGGTTTCTAAGGCAGTATCACTACAGAAGTAGATTGCCCAACCTTCCTTCCAAGGAGTGGCTGGTGGGTTTGAACCGCCAGCCTTCTTCTTAGCAATCAAGTGCCTTAGGCACTATGCTACCAGAGCTCCTGAAACACAGGTAGTTGCCAAGAAGTCGACTCCAGGACATCTGGTTTTGGATTCCTAGACCTTATACAGAGAGCTCTTAGACTTTCATCAGCTTGACTATAAGATGTGTCTAGGTTTAGATCTCTTTGAATGTATCCTACTTGGAGTTTTTTGGATCTGTGGATTAATGTTTTGCATCATTTGTGGTGATAGGAGTGTGATTATCATTAGAAGAGCTCTAGTGGCACTGTGCTCAAAGCATTCAGCTGGTAACCAAAAGTTCAGCTTTGTGGGAGAACCATGAGGCAGTCTGATTCCATAAAGATTTATAGCCTTGGAAACCCTATGGGCCAGTTTTACCCTGTCCTGTAGGATGACTATGAGTTGGAATTGACTCAATGGCAGTGGGTTTGGTTTTTGGTTTAAGGGGCATAGCGAGCACTGGTGGTGCCGTGGTTAAAGTACTTGACTGCTAAACAAAGGTTTGTCAGTTCAAACCCACCAACTGCCACAGGAGAAAGCGGTGGCAATCTGCTTTTGTAAAGACTGACAGCCTTGGAAGCCCTATGAGGGCAGATCTGTTTGTCCTCTAGGGTCGCTATGAGTCTGAATCCACCCGAAGACGGTGGGTGGGCAGGGCCTTTTCTCTCTCCCTGGGGTCTGTCATCCCTCTCTTAACAGGTGACCATGAATGTTTCTTGAACCTTCTGCTCATTGCCTCAAGTTGTGGACTTCTCGCAACTGTCACCTGTGTGAGCAATTTCCTCTATAAATAAGCAGTTTCTGTTTCAGGTGTAGTTTGCCCTTGATATTTATACCCTACCTCCTTCCTCACCCAGGTCTCAAACTTAGAAACTTGAGTTAGAATTGTATTCAAATCCTTAGCCACAGCACAAGGTGACAACCCCCATAAGAGCCAAGAACAGCCACGTGATGGGCTTTTTGTCCTTCTGTGTTCTAGCTGCTGTCCTGTCATCTGCGGGGAATTCTTGATGAGACTGTACTTGTCCTTCCTAGCTGCTTTTTCCATGGTGCTTTGGTTGATTTTCTTGGGATCAAGTTCCAGATGGCTCAACAGTGCTTTCAGGATGAATATTTTGACCATTTGCTTCATGCCTGCAAACCTTGTCACCTTCGATGTTCAAATACCCCTCCTCTTGCCTGTCAGCGCTACTGTCATGCAGGTAGGTAATATTTCTGGAACAATTATTCATGTGTGTGAAACATTTTTTTTTTTTCTATAGAGACTGTTGTATGTGTTCAAAGAATAAATGTTACAGGAAATATGTTGGGATTTTTCTGAATCAAAAAGAGAAAGGAACAAGACAGTGATTTAAACGCCTATGGGAACAAAGTAATTCTTCAGAACTGAACTCACTCATAAGGAGCTCTGGTGATGTTGTGGCTAAAGCATTTGGCTGTTAACCAGAAGGTTGGAGGGTTGAACCCATCAGCTGCTCCACTGGTGAAAGATGAGGCATTCTGCTTCTATGAAGATTTACAGTCTTGCAAACCCTTTGGGGGCAGTTCTACTCTGTCCTATAGGCCACTGTGAGTCAGAATCAACTCATGGCAGTGGGTTTGGTTTTGGTGGGTTTTTTTTTGAACTCACTTGTATTCAGCACTATTAGCAAAACATGTTTTTATCAACTCTCCTTACTAACTAGTATTTAGAATTCAAAGGTCAGTGCTGATCAGCTAGGGGAACCGGATGACAGATGATTTTTAACTGACATGAATGTTACGTTACCTAATGCTCGTTTAACACAGGTCTGACTAATCCAGGGAAAGGAGCCAATGTCATCCTCTGGACATGTCTGGGCCTGTGCTTGACTGTTTCTCTGGCCGTTTTTGTGCTCATGTTCTTGCTACAGAAGATGCGCACTGAGCTATTAAAGGACAAATCGAAAAACACAGGTTGGTTTGATGATGAATCTTTGAAGTCTCTTTCCAAGAGGTGGCTATTGAGAGTTTCAGTTCTTTTTAACATGGTCTATTTCACTCTGTTAGAGCCCTGTAAGGTGTGTTGGAGAATAGTCACATGAAATGAACTTACTGGTAGAAGTGAACTGTCCTCATTCTGGTGTTGGTACCACCTTTGCAGTTTCCTGCAATGTCAGCCTTCCCCAGATTCTTTCCTTGGTAATTACTCTATTAAAGCATGCTGAGGCTTCCTTGGGAAATACCTGTTCCTTTGACTAAAGTTAGCACACTGACTACATGCCACATGCCACGCTATCAGAAACAGTTAGCTGGGCTATCTCCTGTCAGGAACAGTATATCTGGCAAGATTCGTGGCCATATTTTAATACAAATATAAGTGTCACTTCCTTGGGCGAACAGTTGAGTACTGAAAAATGCTAGACATAAATGACCAGTTGTTCCTGGGCTATTTGAGCAATTGTCTCAAAATTAATTGTTTTGATTAACCAGTGGAGACCTAGTCTCAGAGAAATGAATGTTCTACTTAGGCCTTCTGGAGATAAAAATACTTCTGCAGCCTGTGTTCTGATTCCATCACTTACCAGCTGCTGCCTTGTTTCCTTACGTATTTACTCTTTGTGCATAATGTGTAACACACACCTCCATTGCCCTCATGCAGCGCGAGAGGTAGATGGCATTTCTGCATTCACCTCACCTCCTCATCTTCCTTTCTGGTCAACAGATGGGGAGTGACTGGGTGTGATTTTTTTTGGAGATGGAGTCTCACTGTGGAATGTCATGAAAGTAGTAAAACATATCTTCACAGGTGTATAATGGGGACGTAATGGAGACTCCTTTATGTGATCACAAGAGATTCCTTTTTGAAAAAAATTCATCTGGACCCTAAAGTGTCACCCACAGGGTGATTCTGAGTGCTGTCACATATGGTCATTTCTGTCATTTTCAAGAATGTGAGTAAGATAGGCTCAAAAGCTCAAATGCCTGCAAGGGCCACGTGGGTAAGAAATGAGTAGTGGGCCAGGTCGTGGCTTCTGCAACAGGGCAGCCACACTCTGTCTGAGGTGACAGCTGCTCCCGACTTCAACTGATTGCTTCCATGGAGGATGCCAGTCCCATGTCAGCACATTCTGTTGCCTTTTAAAAGACTACAGTAATCTAGGTTTGCCCGTAAAATCTCTTGCTTTTTAAATGTGGGCAAACATTAAAATTAAAACCCAAAGCATTGTATGATGCAAACCATGCAAAATCTTTAAACCAAATGCGTCCTGCGGTCTGTGAGCCTGTGACTTCTGGTGCAGGACACACTCATTTAACTAGTACAAAACCTTCTGTCTCACATTGCTTTTGCATCCTGATGAGTACTGCTAAGAATGTCAAGGCCACACCCCCTAGGAAGTGTAGGTTAATCTCTCTGTTTTTGCATAATCAGGACCAGCTCTCCAGGATGTGGCTAATATCGACCTGGACAACAGCAAGACTGGTGTTGAAATTGCCCTTCCGAGAGGCCTGGGGTACACCATAGAGGAATGCACCTGTGAAGACTGTGTCAAGAGCAAACCAAAAGTTGATGCTGACGATTTCTTCCCCCTCCCAGCTATGGAGGAAGGCGCAACTACTCTTGTCACCACAAAAACAAGTGACCACAGCAATAGCTTGCCAGGTGCTGCAAGGGTCATCCACTACCACCATGTGTTGCCTTAGTTGACCTCAAATCGTGGCAACAACATGTGGGTCAGAAAAGAACTGTGCGTCACAGGGTTTTCAGTGGCTGTGAGTTTTCAGAAGGACACGACCAGGGCTTTCTTCTGAGATCACTCTGGCTGGGCCTGACCCTCCAACCTTTCCTTTAGCAACCGAGTGTGCTAACCATTTGCCCCACCCAGGGCCTCTGCAAGCGTCATAAGGATACAGAAGTGAGTTTCTACCAGATAATGAAGCATTTTGAGTGCTATCGAGATACTCTGAGCATCTTTTGTCAGAAGGAAAGGCTGATGCAGGTAACTACACGGTGACTAATTATCAGTTGCAGACATAGATTTTTGGTCTCTAGTTCTAGAAACCTCTTATGTTTCTCTACCTTAGTGCTGGGATTGTAACTGTGGACACTTCCCTGGTTTCATGATTAAATTGTTGACTTAAAAAAAAAAATCATTGCACTGTGTAGATCCGAGTTACCCATGTCTGTGGTTAGACCACGTCTCTCTTGTACGTGCACATGTACATTGCAGGGCAAATTAGATTTTTCTGCTTATTATTAAAGGAAAGCAAGCTTATCTTATGTACTTTTTTTTGGTGGGAGGAGTGAAAGATTACAGAGCAAATTCATTTTCCACACAGCAGTTCATACACATTTTGTTTCATGACATTGACTGTAGTCCCCACAATGTAACAGCTCTCTTCCCACTTCCTCACTGTAGTTACCTCTTCCCTGTGTCCTTCCTTCCTGAGCTGCCTCATGCAAGTACTGCAAGTACTGCCCTCCTGTTCTCCCATGATTGATCCTTCTAAGGAGTGTGTCTACCTGGTCTAAGTACCTATGGACTTATTACAGAAGCTCAGAATCAGCCTCACTAATTCTGTATGTAATGCATGAGTAGTTTCTGACCCTGAGAGCTTCAAAGTCATTACAAACTGTGAGAAAGGTGGACTAGGTACTGTTTTTAGACCCAAAGGCAGGTGTATAATAACAATCATAGCTAACACTTACATAGTTTTATTAATGTGCCAGGCACTGCTCTTCATTTAAAATTTTTGATTATTCTTTAAGTGAAAGTTTACAGAGCAAATTAGTTTCCCATCAATAGTTAGTACACAAAGTGTTCCCTAACATTGGTTGCATTCCTCACAATGTATCAGCACAGTCCCCTTTTCTACCCTGGGTTCCCCATTTCCTTTCACGTGGATTTTCTACCCCCTCCCTGTCTTCTCCTCTTTGTTTTTGGGCAACTGTTATCCTTTTGACTTGTATAATTCATTGTTCTAAGGAATATGGGGAGCTCTGGTAGCATAGTGGCTAAGGCGCTTGACTGCTCACCAGATGGCTGGTGGTTCAAACCTATCAGCCACTCCTCGGAAGGAAGGTTGGGCAATCCTGCTTCCGTAGTGATACTGCCTCGGAAACCCAAGGAGGGGTCGCTATGAGTCAGGGCTGACTC